TACTATAACACTTTTTATAAACTAACTATATTTACTTATAAGTATAGATAAATAACTAAGATAAACTTACTAAATATATCTAAATATTATATTTTGCCTAGAACCTTACTAACTTTAATATTTATAAGTAACTACTTAATAAAGGTTTCTAATTATTACTATTTTAAGTTAGCTTAATCTACTACTAGTAAAATATATACTAATAATAAGATATTATATATTAAGATATTATATAAGAGTAGGTATAAATATATCTCTAGAATAATTTTACTACTAAATAGTATATAATTAATAATAGCTAAATATTCTTTATAGTATATATATATAAGGCTAGTATTAATATTAGCTATAATACTTTATATAAGGTTTATTATAAGGTATTCTCTAAAAACTTTTAAGATTATTAGAAATAGGTAGAAATACTATATATAGACTTTAAAACCTATAGTCTTAATTAGATTTAGTCTATTAATAGCTATAAAAAGCTATAGCTATAAGGGTTTAAGATTTATATAGGAATTAATATATATTTATATTATATTACTTAGTTCTATATTAGTATTTCTATAATAACTTTATAGAGTATTATATAGTAATATATTACCTTATTAAATATATAAAAGATAATACCTACCTAATTATAATCTAATTATAATAATAAGACTACTATTATTACTAGGCTATACTAGTTTCTTTTTTAAAATAATATACTAGTATAATACTAAACTTATAATAATACTAATAAGTTATAATACTCTTAGGAGTTATAAAGAATATCCTAGGAGTTTATATTTATAAAAGTATAGTTATATAACTAAAGTATTTATAATATATATATTAAAGGATAGTAGTACTTCCTAAGTATTCCTATTAAACACTAATAAGTAAGTAATTATTAATAACTATAGATATATATACTAATATAACTATTTAAATATATTTCTTTATACTTAATAACTATAGTTTATTCTTTACTAATAATCTTATAGATAAGATTATTATTCTCTATTTATATATACTATTAATTTAAAAAGACCTTTATACTTTTATATATAAATAGAATATCTATTATATATATATATAAGAAAGTAAAATTACTAGTTAACTAAATATTTTATATTATAACCTTAGCTATAATACTAAGCTAAATTATAAATTCTTACTACCTATTAATAATATAGAAGTATTAAACTCTATCTTTAAAATATTAAATAATACTATTAATATATACCTACTATAAGTTATATACTAGATCTATAATAGGATTATTTAGTATAAGTTTAGTAGTCTATTAGAGGTAGGTAACCTAGAAATACCTTTTTTTCCTATTTACTTATACTTATATAAATAACTTAATTAGTATTAAGCTAAAGGAACTCTTCCTAGATTAGCCTTATTAAAGCTAATTATTAATATTTATATAAGGCTTAATAAATTATTATTATATAAGGATATTACTATTAATATAATCTAAGAGCTTATTATAGGGGAATAACCCCCTTTTTTTATTTTCTTTATTTTTATCTTTTTTTCTTATTTTTATATTTAAAATATAAAATATAAAATAAATAATAGTATATAATATTTATCCTTTTAATATTTACTTCCCTATATAAATTAGAAAAACCCTTTTATTCTCTAGTATTATTAGTATATCCTCTTATATAATAATACTAGTAGTATTACTCTTTATCTTACTAGCTACCTTATTTATAAGCTCTACTAAGCTAGGTAAATTACTAGTAATAAAGGAAGCTTATATAATTTCTTACTTAATATTAAGCTTTAAATCTAATATATTTAGCCTTTAAATTATTACTTTCTTTATTAATAGCTTTATTTTATAAAATAAAGCTTATAAATTAGTATAAACCCTCTTTACTATATATAAACCTATTATTAGTTACTTTTAATTATCTAGATATATTATTAAAAGATTAATTATAATCTTTTTATCTAATTAATTATACTTAAGTATTATTAAAAGCTTTTTAATTATTATTATTTATTAAATATTAGTATAGTAATTAATAATACTTAAAGGGGATTCTAGGATAATTATAGCCTTAACTTCCTACTCTTTATCTAGTAATACTAATAATATAAGATTAATACTATTTAATATAATTAATAATAGTATATCTTTATATAACTAGTATTTAAACTATAAATAAGTATATTACTATAATATATATTTATTAATATAGTTTAGACTAAATATTATTTAGGGTATTAGAATATTCTTAATATATTTATTTTTAATTATAGTATTAAATAGTTAAAGTATAAATATAATATCTTTATTATTTATTTTTAGCTAAGTTATAATAGAACTAGCTTATCTTACTTATATACTATTTAAAATAGTACTTTATATTATAACCTAACTATTAATAAAAGGGCTTTAAAGTATAACTTAAGTTAAAGGTATATTTATATTATTTATTAAGTTAAATATAATAAGGTCTTTATTATTAATTATAGTTAACTTTATACTTAAAATATTATAATTACTTAAAAAAGGCCTTTAAATAGTTTCTTCTATAGGTAGTAGTAATTCTTATATAGATAGATATAATATTAAGTAGTAATAAGGATATATATCCTAGTCTAGATATTACTATATTAACTCTTAATACTATATATTTATCTTTAAGTAGTATTTCTCTATTATAATAAGTATTAATATTAATTAAAGAAAAAGGGTTATATAAAGTTTTTTCTTTTATATATAAACTATTACTACTTATATCTAGCTATAATATTTAATAAAGTACTAGTAAATATACTTAAATATATATTTAGCTATATTTTACTTAAATCCTTATTTATTTAATAAATACTATAGTAATCTATTATTATTATACTTATATAATATTATATATACTTATTATATTTAGTATATCTTTTTATATAATAGGAGAGTATAGTTTAGTTATAATTATTATTAATTAATAATATATATAAGTAGTATTATATAATACCTTTTAAAGAGTATTAGTATACTTAAGAGGAGTATATATAGTTTATATATATATTCCTAGCTAGCCCTTAAAGCTAGATATAGTTAGTAAAGATATAATTATAATTTTAATACTTTAAGTAAGCTATCTTATATTCTTTATTATAAATATAGATAATTATTACCTTAATATTCTAAATATATAATAGATTTAATAATTAGCCTTATTTATAACTATATATTAGTATTAAATTTAGTTAAAGTAAGTATATAAGTATAGACTATTTATATATAATATTAAGCTATTTATTTATAAGAATATTAGCCTTTATAAGTACTTAAGCTATTAACTCTTTAATATTATTAGGCTAAGCTATAGAAGCTATAATAACTAATAATACTATATTTATAATAGTAATTAGTATAATAAAAAGAGTTATAGATTTATAAAATATAATTCTACTAGTAAATAGTATATATAGCCTTAAATTATATTCTATATTATATAAATATAGATATTAATATACTAAAAATAATTATATATACTCTTAGTATATGCCTAGTGCGTAAACCCCGATATAAGTATGTAAAATGCGTTTTGGCGACAACTCACCTATAGGCTGCCGTAGCAGTGGGGACACGTGCCCTACTAAGGCAAGCTGTAAGCTGTCCATCAGCTCAGATGCTAATCTTGTCTTTCCTAACTAGGTGCGAGCTTTGCAAACAAAGAAAAGTACGCCCCCCAATACCCAAACGTTAATCCACAGCTGCTAATATTGTCCTAGGTGAAATGTGATCGCGGCCGGCCCTCCTGTGGCTGGTGTGGTCGCAACGGCGCGACGTGCGAATACAGGGAGCGCAAAAAGCCAGGTCTGAGAGCAGGATACGGAAAGGAATTGGAGCAGCGGCTTGATCACCTCGAAGCCATATTGGTCTCTCATTCCAGATTCCTCGAGACCATCGGACACGCGCCGCCGGATGGTAGGGATCAAAGCCTGCCTGGCGAGCGCAGCACGCCGGGCCAATCTACGCACCTGTCTAAGCCACAGGATCAGCTGCAGAGACCACAAACTGAGGCCAACTTGTTCCTGGCGGAGCAAGCCTCGTTTACTCCTCCTAGCTCTGAAAATGCCCAATTCAACCTCAGTCAGGTCCCCATGATGCACGACGGCTCTCAGCAGCGGCCAATGTCCACCATGTCGGCCACATCACATCCAAGTTCCGCTGCGCAAGAATTCTACCAGCATCCACCGGCAAACGCACCTCACCATGCGGGCTCCCAAGGGGCAGACCAAGATCTGCCTCCATACGACCTCGTTTACTCACTAGTGGACCTGTACTTTAAGAACATCAACACCTGGTGCCCATTTCTTCACCGGAAAACTACATTGGATAGTCTGTTCGGGCCATCTGCGCTACAGGAGGCTGACCTTGTCCTGCTTCACGCAATCGTTGCCACTACCATGCGATACTCCACGGACGGGCGACTTACAGAGGAGAGGCGAAGAAACTACCACAAAATTTCTAAAGAAAAGGTTATTCTCTACGGCATGGAGAACTCATCCGTCAAATCACTACAAGCCTTGGTCATTTTAGCGCTAGACTTGTGCGGAAGTAGTAATGGCCCTCCTGGTTGGAACATCATGGCCCTCATCACGCGCTCTGTGGTGCAGCTCGGACTGGCTGTTGAGACCACATCATCCATGGTTTCACCAGGCTTTACATCCATCTACACGCTGAGAGCTATGGTTCTCCCCAAGTCCAAATATTTCATTGAAGATGAATCTCGGCGGCGCTTATTCTGGATGATATACCTTTTGGATCGGTACGCTACTATTGCGACAGCTTTCGAATTCGCTCTCGATGACAGGGAAATCGACAGGAGTCTTCCTTGCCGTGACGATCTCTGGATGGCAAACCGCAAAGTCGAAACCCCATGGTTTACAACAAAAAACTCTCCGGAGGCTGCACGTCGCAATGATAAAAGTGCCACCGAGTTCCTCGGCGCCTTTTCATTTTACATTGAGGTTCTTGGGATCCTCTCCAAGATTCACAAGTTTCTGAAGCAACCCGTAGATATCGGAGTCGCTGGGGATGTCGAACGATGGCAACTTCGGTATAAAGAACTAGACAATATGCTGACATCTTGGAAGTATGGCCTCCCAGCCGAATTTAGCGACATGACGAAGATTTTCCAGCCCGGTAGCCGCAGCTTGAGCTGTACCTGGGTAATGCTTCACGCAACATATCACACAACGGTCATTCGACTCCATTCGTCAGCCGCGTATCCAACGACGAGATCGCCCATCTTTACCCCATCATATAACGCATCGCAACGGTGCCTCGGTGCAGTTGAAAACATTGCCGCTCTAGCCGAGTTCGCTTCCACAAATGGATACCTGGCGAGGTTGGGGCCGCCGTTCGCATTTAGCGTTTGGGTGTCTGCACGCCTGCTGCTCGTGCACGGATCGACCGTCGAACGCAAACTCTCGCCCCAGATTGCCTTCTTTGTCGACACACTGCGGGCCTTGGGGGCCTTTTGGCCCGTCGCCCAAAGATACTGCAACTTACTACAGAGAGTCCTGGACGAGCATAGGGACAGTGAGCAAAAGGGCGACGGAATTACGCCAAGCTCGGTCAGAATTTTGGCAGATATGAGGCGTACCGCGTTTGACCTAGACTTTCTCATCTCACGCCAACCACGGCACGGATCACACACGACGAGCGGCGTTCCAAGCGCTACGCCATCGAGAGCTCCAGCAGCGAACGAGTTAGAGTATCTCGACGTGTTTGACTTCTTCAACGTCCCACGTCTGCCTCTTTCGGGGGACGCCTTGGTCTTGTCCAGCGAGGCGGTGGCGCTACCAGAATTGCACACGACCAATAGCGCCAACCCGCAAGCTGGCATAGCTACCGATTTTAACATAACAAACTTTATGATGGACGTAAATAGCGACTGGTTCAAGCAGGAAGGTGAACCATTCTTGACACAAGCTTGATGTATGCTCTGGCTCCTGTATACTGAAAATCTCTAAAAAGATAGGCGTTTCATATCTATGCCACCGGATATACAGCAAGTACTAACAATACTATGCAAATAAGATATATAATATGCACTGTCCCTCTCATGAGTTGCTGGCACTCGAGGCCAACGCCGTGTCGTGTATCTCACCATCGCAGAACTGCACCCATCCATCGAGGCTCATTCTCTTGAACACAGTGCTAAAATTGTCTGAACCTTTGCCGGCGCCATTGCGCGCACAAATCTCCTTGCGGAGATCATCAGGGTACGTCTGTGCACCATCATCGGGGGGGTACTCGATGTGGAACACCGGCTTACCCGCGTCGATAAACTTGTGAAATGCTTCGCACTCGGGATTTGTCTGGTTGGCAGCACACTGCTCATTGACAGAAAAGTCCACCACGTGCATCACATCGTCAATGATGTCGGCTGCGTTCTTCAGACCGACCGACATGTTGTACTTGTCGGCCTCGTCGTGCAGAAACGTCACGTAATCGATGGAGTCTTGCGCCGTCAGGCCCAGGTTGTTCTCCTCGTTTTGCTAGCATCCAAAGTTAGAGCCGAACCGGGACGGCGGGCAACGGTCACTTACAAAGCCGTCGACGTTGTCGGGATCAATGGCATCGCAGCCCTTGCTGGCTGCCAGCGCGATGCGACTCTTCATAATGTCACGGATCTTGGAGCTGCTGATGCGGGCCCAGCGCTCGTCCGTCCATTCCGGCAACGTGCCTCCCAGATCTTCCTTGGGGAACTCATCCGCGTCCGTACGGCCCTTTTCCCAAGTACCCGCGCTAAAGTAGCAAATGACCTTTTTGCCACGGCCGTGTAACTTGTCAATCGTCTCCTTGTCATTCTCAAACACGTCAAAGTCCCAGACGGAAACATCTGGGGTGAAGTCGACATCATTGCGAACGGTGTTTTGGAGAACAATCTGCCACGAATCGCCCACCTTGGGCGTCCACTTCGCTGCCCGGCCGGAGACATTGCGCAGTTCGACATTCGTGCTGTTGCTACTGCCATCGTTGCTACTATTATTGCCGCCCTTGTGTTTAGTCAGACCAACGCCGAGGCCAACAGACAACCCAACAATGGCAGCCAGGGTGACACCTGCAATGGTGATCTTCTTCCATGTTGCCATTAGCTCTTTGACGAGGGTCTGCTTCTCATTGGCAACCTCGCTCTCTTCGTGGTGGTGATTTCGGCCGCTCATCTTGCACAGTATCAAACGTTGCAGCACAACTGCAACTGCGGGACGGCCTTGTATTGAGTCTCCGGGATGGAAGAGGTGCCAGGTATTTACGTGGATCGAGCCAGTCAACATGGCTGTGAGGAATTGCGCTAGTCTTGAGGCCGCAGCCTGATGAGGCTCGCAGAAGTCTAATTTCAAACGAATCTGCCATCATCGGCAAAGGAACTGCTACGACTGGCTGAATCTGTGCATGTTTGCCCCGTTTTCAACTGTATTTAAGGCTGACAGGGCTCATAAACGAGTCGGTGGGATGGCAACTGGGTAGGTAGGTACCTTACGTAGGAAGCAAATCGAACAACTGCTGTCCGAAAATCAGGACTATGAAAAAGAGGCACAGTCCCAGAGTGCCGACTAGAACGTGGCAGAGCCTTGCCGATAGAGACTAGACAAAAAAAGATATTGCTGTTACTACATAGGCTGTAATAAGGCTGCGATGGCTGTTATTGAGTAAATAGCGCTGTGAGATTCGGGGGCTGTACAGTACTGAAGTCGTAGGTGAGGTGGCGCAGCTTGGTCTAGACTCGAAAACAGCCTCAAGGGGCCGGTTCATCCCCAGCCCCTGGAAAGAATGACTTATTAGTCGAGGTTTGAAATGACTTATTAGTCGAGGTTTGAAATGACTTATTAGTCGAGGTTTGACCACTGCCTGATCAAAAGTTTATTCTTTTCAGGGCTGGTCATTTCGTATGTGATTTTTGGAATTAGGTAAAAGAAGTAGAGGGTGTAAAAGTACCCCACGATCGGCCTGTCATCATGAACGAGTACACGTATGAAGACCCAAACTAATAACTAGATCGCGCTGTCTCAATCTAGTCGGGTGGGTGACATAACTAAATGTTTGATGGACGGATAATCGACTAGCCTCAACAGAACGGTAAGTTATCATACGGCTACTGATCGAGCTGTCGCATCTACACGAGACAAGTTCAACTGGCTGATAACGAGGATGAGTTCAGCCATTCGTTCTTAACAGCCAAAATTTGCCGCCATAGGTCTGGGGCGCTTGCATTACTTGGTAGTAGCCTATGCGCATAAATGAGCTGAAAGGCCAATGTTGCGCCTACTTGCACAGCTCTAGTGAGACCATGTATTGGCTCAAAACCGCGCTTTCGATTGTTGCTTAACCGCCCCGTAGATGATGAGCGAATCGCTACAGCGTTGAGGGAGCTCTAGGCGACGCGGTACTCTCCGTTCTTTGGTCCCCTTATTCGAGCGTCAGTACTCCGTAGCACGGCAGGATACGAATGCCGGACCGCGAGGCTCGTGATACCGACGGGCGGATGCGAATGGGACAGGCGGCTGTTTGTAGCTCGAGCGTTGCAGGGTTGTCACGGCATGTGCGGCGTACTTTTGAGTCCTTCTGTGCTGCGCTGCCAACTGCGCTCGCTGGTGAGTCAGCTGCTGGCCTGTGGGTTGTGTTGTGTTGCTGGCGACTGTTGACTGGGGCCATCTCGCTCCAACTTCCAGGTTGCTGGCTGCTGTGGAAATTAGCCACCCGAAAGCGGAAAGCCTGCACGCTTCTGCGCGGTCGGCTGTTTGCAGCGCCCAGGGCCATTGTCTCATCGCTTTCAATTGCCCATGACGTTTGGCTATGGGGCGGGGGTCTTTGACAGGGCCTGCCGCCATTGTAATACTTTCTTTATACGGTATCTGCACCTTCCCAGGGCGTATCCCGATGCTGCAGACAATCGATTTTTCTTCGCATTGGGCTTGCCCCTCCGCTACCTAATATCACCAGGCCTTGTGGAGTTGCAGCCCAGCACCACCATTCTCCACTTGGCTGGCACCTTGTGCGTCATCTGTCGAAGAAAAGGCAGGTAGTGAACAGTGTGTAGCTTCGCCAATTTTTCCAGTGCCTTCTAGCAAAATGAATGGAATTGTCGCGCCGGAAACTTGTTCAGCTTGCTTAGAGCTTCGGGCGGAGAGTTAAGACCTAACGGCGCAGCTGGTGTCCTGCGAATCCCTGTGCTACAATTCGCTGTTGCGATTGCAATTGAGACTGTTTCCGAGTTGTCCCCAGTGTAAAAAGCCCAGCTGCAATGCTCGACACCACTGCATCCAGATCCAGTGCCGCCAACAACGCATGTTTCACTCCCAGCACAACGTGACGTACAAGGTATTCATCTCAGGTATTGAATGCTCCCCCTGCGTCTGCCGTCCATTACACAACAGCACATACCCCTCCTTGATAGCTCAAGTGAGCCGCAAGTTACATGGGCGGCAGCTTGCACCACATCCATGCTCCATCACATCCGAAGACGTCAGCCACATAATTTCTCTGCTCTTCGTACGCCGAATGCTCTCCTAGCTGCCCTCTCCCCCTCTTTAACTGGTTGACTGGCCCCAGAGCTGCGAGCACTTTGGACAACCTAGCACCACCCACGCCACTCAATTCTTCCAAGCTCAAAGCCCTTTTCCCAAGCCCTCTTCGCACCTCTGCGATTTTCCTTTTCCTTCCATATCCCTCCACCAAGTTAGCCCTTTTTGCCCTTTTTAAGAGAAACCGATACCCCGATTCCACATTTTTGGTAATATCCACCATGGGCAGCTACACTTTCAAGTGGTAAGTTCTTTTTGCGCCTCTATTGCCCCTTGTACCACACTCTGTGCCCTGTCAGTCCCAGTCAGCCCGCACGCCAAATTCCTCCCACCCAACCGCATTCCGTTTGCACAGTTCAACCCCAGAGATATTCTTCCTCGTGGGCTTTCCAATTTCAATCTCGATTACTCTGTCGCTTCATTTTTCTAATCATTACCTCTTCTGTACCGTACCAGGGAACACCCCGCCGAAGAAGTCTACGTTACTGGTACGTTCGACAACTGGACCAAAAGTATCAAGCTCGACAAGCGAGGCGACATCTTCGAAAAGACTGTCCCGCTTAAAATCCCATCCGACAAGGTCTACTATAAGGTTAGTCAAAAATACCGACACGTCAATCGATTCAATGCTGCGTCGCGCGCCTCCTGTCGATGCCGATTTGTCCTGCGTCCAGGCTTGGAGCTGTCAGCGCCCCGCGCGCAAACCATCATGCAACCCCAGATTGCGCCACCCGCATCACAATCTCGCCGAGCAAGCTCATTGCCATCGGGACTGCGCCAATTTCATGCACTTCTTGGGTTCACTGAAATCTAGCGCCAGGCGCATTGCCAATCAGTCATGCGCGAGACGGAACGGCCACCCAACGCCGCCAATGCGACCACTCGAGCGAGCTGTCCGGAGCGTCGCCATTGCGCATTGTATCATTGTGTACTGCGCCGAATATCTTTCGCTAATGCCACTGCCTTGCATAGTTTGTTGTCGACAATAATTGGACCATCAACGAATCATCTCCTAAGGAGGCTGACGAGGAGGGCAACGTGAACAACTTCGTTACTTCAGAAGTCATTGCTGCTTCAGCCCTTTCCACCAACATCATCAATACCGTCGGGCCAGGATCCACCACCGCTACAATGGCCAGCCAACAGCCCCTTGAGAAGGATAAGCTTGTAGGTATTAACCCTCTTCCTGCCTCGGAGACCGGAGTCAACCCCATCAACTTGAAACCTGGCGAAAAGGTTCCTCAGGAGCTCACTGCCGGCGATATCCACAAGCATGTCAAGCTGGACAAAGAGTCATACGAGAAGAGTGACTCTCTTGTCGGAATTACCAACCCGGCTGATGTACCTGCCGCCAGCGCCAACCTCATTCCCGAATCAGGCTTACCAATGCCCCAGAACGCGACAATCAACACGGTGGCCCCTGGCGCTACTACTGCTACTCTAGCTGGTCAGGTTCCCTTGGAGTCCAAGCCTACGGCAATTAACACGGTGGCCCCTGGCGCTACTACTGCCATTCTAGCTGGTCAGGTTCCCCTGGAGTCCAAAGCTACCGAGTCTACCTCTGGCGCCGAGGACAAGAAGAAGAACAAGAACAAGAAGAAGAACGAGAAGAAGAAGCAGAAGAAGGCCGCCGCGGCCGCTGCTAACGGCAATGGCCATGACAACGGCAACGGCAACGGCAATGCCACTACTACAGATGCCGACGACGACCAGAGCGACGCCGCCGAACAACCAAAGGGCGAACACAGTGCCGCCGCCACTGCTGCTACTGTCGGTGGCAGTGTTGCCGCCGTTGCCGCCGCCGTTGCCGCTGGTGCTGCTGTTGCTGCTAGCAAGGTCAGCCAGCAGGCGGCTCCCACTCTAGACGCAGCCAAGTCTGCTGCCACCGAGGCCATCAACAAGAACCTGCCCGATTCCGCCAAGGAAAAGCTCCCTGAGCAGGCCAAGGAGCTGCTTGGCCTGCAGGAGACTGCCAAGGGCGTGCCCCCCGAGGTCAAGGAGTCGATCCAGGAGGCTGGCAAGAGTCCCGAGGCTGCTGCGAACGCGGCTGCTGTTGCAGAGGAGAAGGCTGTTGAGTCTGAGCTCCTCAAGGAGGTCCAGCCTGTTCCTGCGGCCGCTGTGGCCACGGCCAAGGAGCCGCTTGTCCAGCAGGAGACTGCCAAGAATGTGCCCGCCGAGGTTAAGGAGTCAATCCAGGAGGCTGGAAAGAGTCCCGAGGCTGCTGCGAACGCAGCTGCTGTTGCAGAGAAGAAGGCCGTTGAGTCTGAGCTCCTCAAGGAGGTCCAGCCTGCTCCCCCGACCGAAGCTCCCAAAGCTGAGGACAGGTCCGCCGTGGCTGCTGTCGGTCAGGCTACCGAGAAGCCTGCTGAGACCATCAAGGCCCCTGCCCTCGCCCCCATAGCCCCTGTCCTAGCTCCCATCACTGCTCACCAAGCTGGACCTGCTGAGAACGGCGCTGCCAAAGCCGCAGGGGGATCCTCCATCCCCAAGCCGACTGAGCCTAAGCCAAATGAGACCAAAGTCACTGTGTCGAAGCCGGTGACCCTCACTCCTGCTCCGCAGACTACTGAAACCAAAGCTATCGATGCCACTCTCGACCAGTCCTCCGAGACTAAGTCTGCAGAGCGCGCTATCCCCCAAGTTGCAGAGGTTCCCAAACCCGCCGAGACGATTCCGACCATCTCTAAGCCCGTTGAAACCAAACCCGTTGAAACCAAGCCCACCGAGACCAAGCCTGCCGAGACCAAGCCTCCTGCACAGTCAGCCACGACTACCGAGCCCGCTGCCAACGGCTCTGGCCTGAAGTCTACCGTTGCCACTGCCACGGATAAGACCCAGAACACTGCTCGCAATGTCGACAAGAAGAAGAGCCGTCTAAGCACCTTCCTCAGCAAGATCAAGGGCAAGCTGTCGGACAAGAACTAGAGGCGTGTCGGTATACATTAGCCTACGTTGTGTTGGACATGTGCGAAAGATGTTGTTGTTTTTTTTTTTTGGAATTGTTCAGAACTTTAATATTCCTATGTCAAATGATTCCCCATGGCTGCGACAGTATCAAATCTGTACAATATATCTAGGTAATACATGATATGTTAGCAATGCTTATCTAGATGTTTTCTAATGCACAAAAGCGTGGGCTTCGCCCCATAAGATCAAAATGTAGCATACTGGCATGGTTGTGAAAATTTCGCCACCTTCCCCAACAATTCAGTGCTAAATTTACAAAGGCTTCCAAATCATCCGCATCTCTCATGTCCGTACGGTGGGGACAAATGTTTTGTAAGAAGTGATGCAGTGCACGTGACGAACTGCTCTGGCCTGCCCCGCAAGTGAGTCAAGGAGCAACCAGGAACTGGAGATACTTCGATACGGGCTTCGTCCCAGCGTGATCCCATCGGATCTCCATCGCTAGTGGTCATAAGCATGATTATGAGACCCATACTCTTTGAAAATAACATCTTACTTCCGGAAACCAATCCTACAACCTGCCTCTGCGTCCCAGAGTTGCCGCGATCGGGCTCGCCAAAAGTAGCAGTTCGATAACACAGCGAATCGCCGCGACCTGAAGCCAAGTGACGACTGATTGGAGGCTTCTCATCCCTTCAACGCGAAGTCCTCGTCTGATATCGAACTCTCGATTCGAATTATCATGAATCTGTCGAATGCCAACTCGGGCAAGTCCCTTCCAGTCGCCTCGAACTATCCTACTCAAGCAACTCCCGATCGCCCCGCTCCGGCTCCCGAGTACTCGCGTCGCCCAGGGCCGTCCTCATCAGCTACCGACACGGCGCAGTCCACACCACGAAGGGGGCAAGGATCCCGAAAACAGCACAGAAATCAGAGGCGCCCGGGCATGGGGGACAATATGGGCCACTCTTCGTTGGACAGGGACGACGCGTTCGCCGAGATGCGCGCCGTTCGCAATCCTTCCAGCCGTCGAGGCCAGACCTCGATCACGCATTTACTCAACTATACAGCGCCTCGTCCTGTTCAACACCACAGCTTCCATCCTCGCCCCCATCGTCGTCATCCGAACTCTGGTCTCGGCTCAGGCTATCATGCTGTTGACAAGGCGCGATATGTTCATGCCAACTATCGCTTCGTTGTCCGACCAGAGGTGTCGTATAATGGTCAGGCTGCTGATGCTGATCTGTATATTGACTGGGCACATGTTCTTCAAGTGATCGCTTCATCGGAATCACAATCTGCTTCGTGCCCAATATGCCTCTCGGAACCTGTGGCTCCTCGCATGGCTCGATGTGGCCACATCTTCTGCTTACCATGTTTAATTCGCTTCATGGTGACGACTGCGACAGAGGAAGAAGCCAAGTCTAGCAAACCTGCAAAGTGGAAGAAATGTCCTCTTTGCGAAGACAGCGTATACATTCAGGAGGTCCGATCTGTGCGATTCTATTCCGGACAAGAGAGCTCCCTGCCACGACCTGGAGACGACGTTGTGCTTCGGCTTATGGCACGAAAGGCGACGTCGACGCTGGCGCTTCCTAGGGAAGGAGGCGCCGAAGCCATCAATTCCAGCGACGATGTGCCCTGGCATTTCGCTGCCAATGTTCTGGACTACGCCCGAATCATGAAAGGAACAAAAGAATATATGACCGAACAGTACGAGGAGGAAGTTGTTGCCCTCCTGAAACAGGAAAAAGAAGACAAAGATCTTTTTGGTCAAGACGGGGCCTGGACACAACGTGCTGTAAAAGTTGTCAGATCTTTGCAGGAACGTATCGATGATTTGATCAACGTAGCTGCGGCAACGTCGGCAATGAATCGAATTTCGGGAAAACCAATGTCAGACTCGGACTTTTACTTTTACAGCTCTCCCCCACATCTCTATCTCTCCCCTTTGGACATTCGCATTCTCAAGACCAAGTATGGGTCCTTCTCCTCCTTCCCGTCCTCGCTACTCCCGACTGTCGAGCATATTGTGACGGGCAACGTGGTTGACGATGCTTTACGAAAGCGAGCGAAGTACTTGGGTCACCTTCCTCACGGGTGTGTCATTAGCTTCTTGGAGTGCGATTGGACTGATATTGTTCCGGAAGAAACCCTTTCAGCTTTTGCCTCCGATATCGCCAAGCGTCGCAAGCGCAACAGGGACAAGGATGTACAAGAAGAACGTCAGCGCATCAATGCCGAGCAGATAGAGGCCGCTGCTTTGCACATTTCTGCCGGCATTTCTATACGACGCCAAGGCATAGAAGAAGACAGGCTACCACTCATGGATATGTCAGAATTTCAGCCTCTAAATGGCGCATCGAGCACCACGCCACCGGAAGATCGAATTGGCTTTAACACACTAGCATCCATGTCCACGAGTCCGACTGGGGAGCGAACAGTATGGGGCACTGCCGCAGTCCCTGCTTCCCCAGAAATTGGCGCCACGCATGTTGAATCTAGAGACGACGGATGGCTTGATGAAGCCGAGCTTCTTTCCAATGCCGAGCTCTCCATGCACCTAGATTCTATCCACATTGCAGAGCAAGAGCGAGAGGCAGCAAGGCAGCCTGAGAACGGCAGCTCCGCGAGAGGTGGTAAGAAGAAGAAGAAACAGAGGATCACATTAATGAGTACCGGTGGCCACAGAGGCTTCTAGAGTCGCGAAACACTTGATTTTTTCCACGGAGTCGGGATTTGGCATAGTTGGAGTTCATTTCTGGTATTATCCATAGCCTTTATTTTTACATACAGAAGCGTACAGCGCGAAATCACCACATAGGTAGGTATATTCAGCGCATAGACCTTCATTCAGTTGATTTGGTTTCGATTCCTGCTTCTGGATTTGTGTGTATTTCCTGTTAATTTTAAGAATATTTGACGTGGAAGGTGTAGTTGGTGTCGCTGGGCGGGCCATCGGCGTTTATGGCGCCGACTAATAGTGGGGAGGTCCCTCAACCTCTAAATTTTTTTGCCGTGGGCAGTCCAGTCCGGTCTTCACCACGCAATTTTTACAGAGCATGGCTGCCGACAGCTCGTCTTCACTGACCTCGACGTCGCACACATTAACGGCCGGATCAAACATGGCAGCGGATTCATCTCCCTCCAAAGGAGCTGCCCTGGCTTTGTTGCAAAACTTGCGGCGCGGGAACCGCCATGTCTTCCTGCAACCGACAACCGAACTACCTACCGAATCACTCAACCTGGTGCGAGACACATTGGAAGCCTTCGCCACGCAAGTCGGCGAGGAGCAGGAGCGCCGGTTGAAGGAATCAAGGAAACGAAAACGCGGCGGCGAAAAGGAGGACATTCTGAAGCTTCGAAAAATCTACGTTGATGGCTTCCAAACAAACCAGGTCTGGCAGCAGGCCAAGAAAGTTATCGGTGGCGTCCTGGAGTTTTCCGAGTCTCTTCTTGACGAGATGGAGGAGAGAAATGAGATTACTCTGATCAATGGTCACGATACTGGAGAGGACGATGATGCGAGCAATCTGAGCGCCGAGTCTGTAGAAGAGGACGAAGCGGACGAAGACTCTGAGAATTCCGGCTCTGACGAGGAGCTTGAGGATATTGAGGATCCAGAAAATTTTGGCCAGCTCTCCGATACTGGTGCAGAGGAGCTTGGCGAACAGGAAATTGATGAGAATGCTGAGGAAGAAGAAGATCATGATGAAGATAATAGCGAGGATGGCGAGTCCTTCGTTGAAGATCCCGATGGTCTCAATGATGGGTTCTTCTCCCTCGACGACTTCAACAAGCAGACTCAATGGTTCGAGGAGCAAGATACCCGTGGCGATCCGAATACAGACATGGCCAGCGACGATGAAGAAGTAGACTGGACTACAGACCCCAACGCACCGGCCCAAAGTTCCAAAGTCTCAACGAGTAGAAAGACCAGGGAGGCAGACGACGAAATGGCAGATGAAGATGCGGACGAGGATGAGGACGATGGTCCTACTTTTGGTGACATGGCCTTGGATGCGCCGGAAGGTGATAGTGATGACGAGGCGGCGGCATATGAAGACGGCTTCGAAGACGCTGAGAATAACGCCAACGACATTTTCTATAAGGACTTCTTCGCGCCACCATCGCGCAAGAGAGACGCGAAGAAGCCAAGGAAGTCAACCCCCAAGGCTCAAGAGCCTACAGAGCAAGACGTAGAGCGCGCCATGGCCGATGTTCGCCGTGACCTCTTCGATGATGAATCAGAAATGGACGACTCCGAGGATGCCCTTTCGGATGCTTCCGCCGGTGACCCGAAGTCTCGCCGATCAGCGCACGAGCGCAGACAAGCCAAGCTGGCCGAAGAGATTCGAAAACTCGAAGCCGCCTCCGTTGCCAAGCGCGAATGGACTTTGTCAGGCGAAGCCAAGGCAGTGGATCGCCCAACCAACTCGCTCCTTGAACAAGACCTCGACTTCGAATACATTGGCAAGCCGGTGCCCGTCATCACACCCGAAATTACTGAGAGCATAGACGAGCTTATCAAACGCCGTATCCTCTCACAAGAATTCGATGAAGTCCTTAAGCGCCGCCCCGAGACAGAGACCGTCCCCTCAGGGACACGCCGCGGCCTCGTGGACGTCAAGGATAGCAAGTCGGACAAGAGCCTGGCCCAAATTTACGAAGAAGAGCACGTGAAAAATGCGGATCCCGATAACTACGTCAGCCAGTCTGATGAAAAGCTTCAACGCGAGGAAAAAGAGGTAGAAAGCATGTGGAAGGAGGTCTCCGCCAAGCTCGACGCCCTCAGCAGCTGGCACTACAAGCCCAAGCCTACGGCTGCCTTACTCTCCGTCGTGGCCGACGTGGCAACCATTGCCATGGAAGACGCGCAGCCGGCGACGGCGCAAGGCGTGGCCGGCGCGAGCAGCCGCATGGCGCCGCAGGAGGTGTACAAGGCCGGCGCGGACACAGCCGCCAAGGGCGAGGTGGTGTCCAAGAGCGGACTGCCCGTGGCGCGAGAAGAAATGTCGCGCGAGGACAAGGCCCGCCGCCGGCGGCAACACAAGGAGCGTGTGCGCAAGGCTGGCAACGGCGGCGCTGGTGGCTCGCGGGCGGGCACGAGCAAAAAGGCGCAGACCATCGCCGACCTCAAAAAGGGCGGCGTCAAGGTCATCAACCGCAAGGGCGAGATCACCGACGTCGACGGCAAGAAGATCAAGGCGGCCAAGACTATGTCGAGCGGCAGCTTCAAGCTGTAAAGAGAATGCTGCTAAAGCAGCAGCTACAGAGGATGTTCTGTTCTGCAAGTATAATATCGCGCGGCGGGTGGCGGCCACTTTTGCTGGGGTATACCATGTGTTGGCTAGCGGCTGTAAGTTTGCATTGACCAGGGAAGGGAAAAGCGATGCGGATTCTATTCACTTCTATTCTACCATGTTTGGGTCTTGTTTCTCATAACTGGTGTTCGGGGTATACATGTCAACTTTTTTATACGTTTAAACTGCAATGACGATACATACATGCGCTATACGCTTAGATGGTAAAGGTGTGAATTGTTAGATTTGATGTCAATATGGCAAAAAGAGCGCCTACAAAACCTATTGTAGCACAATCCTGGTCTTTGTAGATTCGAGAAGGGAGAGAAATCTAGCCGGATACTCATCAACCAATCTCATTCCGCCGTCCAGACGCCGCAAACTCCAAAGTCGAAAAAGAAACCCCCCCGCCGGTCCCCGTCTGGCACTATTACAGCGCAAACCCTAAAGAGATGAAACCAAGGCGCGCGCCATCTGTTTACACTGCTCGGCCGCCATTTTACGCCTCCTCTTCGACGCGGGCCTTCTTGGGGGACTCGGCTCCAGTCTCAACAGGTTCATCCTCAGCCTTGCGCTTGCCATTGGTAGAGGAGGGCGCGGCCTCGGGCTTGGCCTTCCTGCGGACCATGCTGGTAAGGTCGACGGCGCCCTTGGTGGCCTCGGCGACACGGGCTTCCGTCTGCTCGGGGGTCTCGCCGAGCACGGCGCCAAACAGGCCGCCAAGAACATTGGCCTCGGTGGCACCCAAAAGTTCTTGGGGGTCGACGGGGTTTTTGCGGAGATCAACCAGCTGATGTCGAGGTTAGCATCACAGTTCAGGTGAAAAACTACATGGGAGGGGGGAGTTACTCTTTGCTCCATGTCGCCAATGAGCTCCTTCATTTCGGTAATATCCTTGCGCATCATGTCGTTGTCGGTGGGAGAAGCAGAGGTGGCCATCTCCACCTCCTTGCCTTGCAGCTTGAGTCGAAAGCTTTGAATAGCCAAGTCCATCTCCTTGACAGCCTCGTCGCGAAGATCCTGATCAATCTCCTCGCGCTTGTTGTTGGTGCCGTCATCACCAGAGCTAGTAATGGATGCGAATTCGAGCGCAAGGGAGAGCTTATAGTGAGCTTCAGCAATGATTTCGGATTCGACGGGGAAGAGCTCGAGCTTGTACTGGAGCGATACGCGACCATCTTCGATAGCATTGGGGTAGCTGTTTCAATCAGTCGATTGTCGCACTAACAATGGGGTTTTTACATACCGTTCGTTCTCTAGCGAGATTTCGGCAAGCGCATCGTGTGTGTCAGCAAGGCGTTCCTTGACATGACGCTCAGCAGGAGACAGCTCGCCAGTAGTCTCCTTGCCCTTTGAGTTGTCGGCGGCAGCTTGCTCGAGGTGAGCAAGCTGCTTCATGTAGCATACGCGAGCGAGGTCGAGAATCTCAAATGCAGTGGCGAGGTCATCGTCCTCTTCTTCGGGTTCGTCGCCGCCCTGTCAAGACATAAATCAATTACATGCGACTTCATTTTGCCATTATGCTCAAGCCAAACGTACCTCTACATCTGAGTCGTCCGAGTCGACAAAGTTCTCGTCTCCGGTGAATTGGAACAAAGGCTTCTTCTCCGGTGCCTCGGCTGGAGTCTCTGTTGCTGTCTCGTCCACGGTGGAGAGCTTCGATGAAGAGGCCTTCGGCGCGGTGCCGCCGTTTGCCTTGGTCTTCTTGGATTCTCCAGCCGCGTGTCCGCCCAAAACGTCGCTCTTGCTCTGGCCGACTCGGAACAAGCTGCGCCCATAGTGGAACAGAATTTCAGCATTTTCGGGAGCAAGCTCGCCATTCAAGTCAGCCTGTAGGTTACTGGCACGCGAGAAGACCTCCGCGGCCTCCTCGTAGTGCTTGTGCGCGTATAGGGCACTGCCCTTTGCAGACAAATCGGCCAGGGTGACCTTTTTGGATTTTTCGTCCTCTTCGCCAGCTTCGGGTTGTTCATTCGATGGCATATCATCGGCGGGCTCATCGGCGGCCGGAGCTTCGACCGCAGCGGCTTCAGTCGCAACCACACCCTCAACGGGCGCAGAAGGCTCCTCGGTCGGTCGCGTTTGCTCTATGGCGTCGGACATTGTGGTTTGGACGAGTAGGGTTGGATTGAGTACGCGTGTTCAGTTGCGATGTGTTGACCCAGTGAATGGGTGACTGGGTTGGAGCGCGCCGGTTTTATTCTGCACGAGACAGGTCCTAGCTGAAGTGGGCGCGAGTCGCGAAGGAGTTCAGTTGCGCCAAGTATTAATGGACTGACACGAACCTTTGGCGTTCGGGGATCAGGTAAGATCCGCGTCGTCTATTGGCTGTCTGTACATTAGTATGGGGCTGACTTATGGGGCTGAAACAAGCTAGCCTCAACCGTCCTCTTCCTGTCCTTTGTCAGGTCAGCATAGACAAACCTGATAACTGAGTTCAACAGCATCAAGAATCTACCAAATCCGGTCCAAGAATGCAGGAACTAACAAGATCAAAGCGTGGAAAATCTACCTATACATTGGAAGCCGTAGAAAATGTCGTGTGCACGTGAGATGATCAATCTTCGCTCCTTTGAATTGACTCCTACAGGGTAGCGAGGAACTCCTCACCGTTCAACAAGTCCAAACGCCTGGTTGCTTGAATATAAGCATAGTATCAGATACGTCACAATATCGGAGACGAGGATTCTGCGATAGGATTCACCATTTTATCCGTCTAAGCGCGACATGGCCATCAGCGAGTGCTGAATAGGGCAGAGTAGCCGGGAACTCATCAAAATGCGTCAACGCATTGTCGTCCCGGTGACATTGTAGTAAAATTCTGGCTTTGATACAAAATAAGAGGCACTGACCGAAAGAAAGAACCCGTATTTAAACAAAATACAGGAAATGGTCTCACTGGACCGAAGACGGCCTCTACGCTTTTTATCGGCAAACCTCGCCGATGATTTAGATTCATATGGGGAAGGGTAAATAGAAGCCGATTCAACTACCCCCCCCCCAATGTCTCTCTCGAGCAGACGTAGTAGAATTATTTGCCTGAGGGAAAGGTAGAATACTGCATCCAAAACACCGGTCACTAAAATCCCACAAATCACGCGATAGCACCAAGGCCATGCAGGTCTCGACGAGTACGACGCCGGACAACCTAGCCACAGCACCGAGACCCTTAAGGAACTCCAGCTCAGTCTTGAGCTATCAGCTGACGCGTATGAGCCTGGTGCAGCTGGGATAGAGCATTACACTATATACTCGAGGTATACTAGTACCCACGGGGGGACAATGACTGGTACCGACGCTCGTCCTCAAGCTACTCAAGCGGGAAGTGCAATAATGCGAACACTAGATACCTGCAATTCAGTCCTCGACAACACGCAAAACGTAGACAAGCAGATTGTGAGGATGACCAATTTCGAAATAGTCTATTTGGGTGCCAGCTTACGCCTTTGATATTTGGGTACCAGCTTACGCCTTTGAGGACGTCGCCCGCCGGAGTTTATATCACTCAATGAAAAAAATACCCCGACTATCTGAGCTTGGTATGAACTATCGGGATAGAGGAGATCCGAATTGCTATGACTCGGACGCCAAACCGGTTGTACCGGCTAGGTTGCCGGCCCGCTCCGTAGGGTTACTCTCGGCAGAGATCTAACATTTCCGCTAAGAAATTGCCAAGCCCAAGAAGCGTAAGTTTTTCTAAATCCCAACTTGAGAGATATTACTGGAAAGTTCTTCCAAGAATCAGCAAGTGCTCTGGTACCTGGCAAACCCCATGAACAAGAAAGGACAGCAGGTTGCCCATATTGCCGTGAAGTCTACTCATACTAAGCATCGTTACCTTCGAAGGGCTGACCACGAGCTACAACTACATTGGGCACATCAGCCACTGCATTTCCCTTTATGATAGCGGCAGGTATTGCCTAATCCGCTCACGGCGTGGGATGATTCGTGGAAAATGACGTTGGCGGACGCCTATCTAAACGAACAAGGGAATCTAAGGGGGCCATCAAGGCTGGAGTAGAAATTGGAGCAAGTGTTGTTTTGAGAGGTGGAGATAAGCGACAACTCTGGTCTTGAAATGCTTGTGGTAGCTATCAGCATCGTAGGATTGATAACAACGACGGAGCACTACTGCGCGTAGCCCCGGCCGTGGCCCTGAGGCATCACCAGCAGGCCGTCGTCTCTGCGCGAACTTGTACCAATCGGTTTGCCAAGATAGGTTACATAGTATTGAATTCGAGCTGTTAGCACAGCCCTGAGTCGTGGGATGTGATATAATTCTTCCGCAAGACGTGAAGAGGAAGCAGGCAGCCCATGACTGCCATATACAGAATGCCAGTTGTCAGTAAGATAGTTGCGTACTGGAGCTACCGATTGGGAGAAGTGCTCGGAAATATCAATCTGAAGAGAGAAAGATGACCAGGGCTGCGTAGCTAGGGTACCTTTCGTGGGTCTCTATCTAGCCCGGTGCTTCGAGATGATTGATTCCTGACCTGCCCCGATGTTGAAGGTCGGATTACAGCTCAACGCTCCAATTCAAGTCAGAGAAACGATTCCTACCAACGACCACGATACATACCACCGGACTAGATAAAAGAGAAGCCGAGCTATCTGGGCGGCGACGCAGAGGGTTGTTGACCGAGGATATTTAATGGTGCGGGGGCGGGGAAGCTTGTAGACAAAGCGTGGTGAGACAGACGGTGCCGTTACCAGGAACCAGGTCTGTGAATGGTGAACATGTAAGTCTCGCACGCAATCTCGGCCGTGATGTCGTAGTTCTGTGGTCTGACGAGGACTCGGGAGACGAGGAAGGGTGGATTAAGTGCAGAGGCCACCGACTTTTGCATGACCTAATGATTTCGCAAATGCACAGCTGAGATGGAATGACGCGCAAAATCATGAGAGGACTAGTCAAAGGACAAACAAGATTACAAGCGAGGAGGACTGACAGGTTAATGAAAGGACGTTTTTACACAACCTGTCATTGGCGGATAATCAAAGTGCGCCGGAAAACATTGTGCAATTATTAGTTCCCTGGAGCGAGCCTACTTGAGTGGAGAGTGGAGCCGCTGGGTTGCGACAGGTCATTGCAAGGCACGACCCTGACCTGAACTGAGGACCAAATGTGCCCGATGATCAGTGAGGCTGCCTGCCACTGACTCTCTGCTGGCCCTGTTGCGCCGTTTCCACGCTGTTCGCCCGCTATCTCAGCAATAATTACAGGTACCTGCCAACCACCCACTGCCCACATGCCGCCTTTTAATGCGCATCCCAACCCCACTACCCCAAGAGCTACCATAATCCGCCAAACGCTCCATGATTTCGTTCTCGCGTCATCTGCCTACCATTTACCTTTGCTTTCGCCGCTCTGTTCGGACTATATACCCGCCTCTGCTTGTTTCTTGGATCCATTATCTGAGCGACTCTCCAGTCGTTCTCTGTCGTGCCTTCTGCCTCTCCTCGCCCTAGCCTGTGATAGCCGATAGCGAGGGGCATTCGGCCTCTAGCTACAGCTCACCAGGAGTCCTAGATTCCTCTCAGCACCGCAACCTTCTCCGGGTATGACCCTTCACGCACCCCAATGAACGGAAATCGACCCACAAGAGGCAACAGACAGTTCTTCAACTCAACCTGTACTGGCTCCGATAGTACGGTGAAAGGGGCTCTCGCAACCTCAAATCTCACTCATCTCCCGGCACGACCGCTATCTGGAACGCTCCGTCGCATCGGTCCAGTTCTGACTTGAGACTGGGGTAGTCCGAAAACATTCGGATGATACATTCTCAGTCATAAATATCGGTTACCGCAGCCTTTAATATTGCTTGAATCAATCCGTTCCCCTACTTGCCGTCGAAACCTCGGTGACGCCAACTCGCCCAACACAGCAGTATGGCTGCTGTGCACCAGATCATCGCGAGTCCTTCGCCAAACCCAGACCCGACGACTTCCTTCGCAGATAATTCGGACTCTTTCAAAGTGGACATTGGCAACGGAAACCATGCAGAACACGCCAGTCAGAGCCCCCCGGTAATCGATAGCGGCTTCTTTGGAGATTCTCTACAGGGAGGAGACTCGCGCATAATTGCTATAATTTATGGAAAAGGACAAGAGCCAATTGTGTCCCTATTTGGAGAGGTTCTCGGCAGACCGTCAAAATTAAAATCCAACATCACCGACGTTACGACAGCAGATCAGCAGTCTGTCATTGGCATTCCCGCTGCCGCTGCGCAAAGCAACATTGCCACAAGAGATCATTCAATGGTGGTTACGATCAATGCACACCTCGTCAATCTAGGCATGCCGCCAAATCTGTACCTTTCAGAGCACTGCGACTACGAATTCCTCTACTCGGACACTCCTGATCTGCGTCGAGACCTTTGTCGATTTACTGCATTTATTTTGGGCCAAATCAACCACCATAGCGAACTCATGGCTAAGCCGAGAACGTTGTTCATCTCAACGACATTTCCCGACGTCAGAGCTGCTCTACCTAACCTTGACATCCTGACGGTTGGGTCTGATGCCGTTGAATTGCGTGTTGATCTGCTACGAGAGCCGCTAGGCGGCGGCAGCTTTGCCGCTGTTCCGAGCTTGAAGTACGTCGGAGAGCAAGTTATGCTGTTACGCCAGCGGACAGAACTGCCGATCATATTTACAACGCGCTGCACCAACGAGAATGGCAGATTCCCTATGGACAACCCGAAACTCTACCACGAATACCTGTACAGAGCCATTCAATGGGGGGTTGAGTATATCGATGTCGAACTTTGGCTGCCAGAGGACATCAGGCAAGATCTTTGGCATAAGAAGGGTAACTCGCGCATCATGTCTGCTTTTCACGACTTTTCGGGAAACTTCAAATGGCCATCAATTTATGCCCAGGAAGTTTTCGAACGGTCCATCGACTATGCTGATATCATAAAGATGATCGCCATCATTAATGACCACACGGAGAACTTTGAACTTGAATACTTCCGCTCAAAGGTGAAGACCAAGTATCCGCATGCGCCACCATTCTCCGCCGTCAACATGGGCCAAGTCGGACAGTTTTCCCGTTCGCTTAACAAAACATTCACACCTATTACACACCCACTGCTGCCGCTGATCGCTGCGCCAGGGCAGCTAAGCGCGGCAGAGATCAACTCTGCCCTTGCGCATATGGGCCATCTGCCGAAGAAGTCGTTTTATGGCATCACTAGTGTCGAATCTCGAGTGAAAGGACACAGGGCGCCATTCTACGAAAAGTGTTTCAACGAACTTGGTCTTCCCCATCAATTTGCCGTTATAGAACGTCAGCCAAACAGCGCAGCTGGACTGGAAACATTATGCAGCCAGAGATCTTTTGGCGGAGCGTACCTCGATCCCGGTCTTTCGTACAACAGCATCATGAAGCATAATCCACTGCTCGCGACTGCCAATAACGGAGAAGGGCCGATTGTGAGCGAGGCTGCACGAGTCATTGGGACCGTCGACACAATCGTGGCTAGAGTAGGCTCATTGTCACACTCTATCTCTAGGCCATCCTCTATACCCGCCAGCCCCAGACAGCAGAGCGAAGGTGCTGTTGCACTCAGCCAGGTCGACCCGAACCAAGCGACGACGCTGGTATTCGATAACGCGAGCTGGAAAGGAATTCTCAGCGCATTGACAAGGGACCTCGCACCCTCAGCATACGCAGGCCGCACGGCCATGGTACTGGCATCTTCTTCGGACGATGCGGCACCAGTCATCTTTGCCATGAAGGCGCTGAAAATTGCCAAGATCTACACCCTAGGGTTCAAAACATCTACGACACTCGCACGTAATGCGCCGCCGATTGAACAGTTTAACAGCCTCGAAAGTCTACAGCGCGCAAGATCTGGCTCGCATGAGAGTGCCGCTCCCTTCGTCATGGTATCAGCCCTTGGGCCAGCAAAAAGTAGCATTGTGAGACTACTTTTGCGCGCATTCGCGAGCAATGCCCAAAATTCCGGATCGACGAGCTGCAAGAAGGTGTTTCTAGACATGGCACATGCCGCAGACCGACAAGCGATCGAAACGGCTGAAATTGCAGAAAAGAGCGGCTTTGCAGCTTATGGGGCTGCAGACAGTGCAGCATTCACGACGGTTGAGAGTTTGCGCTTGCTCGTGGGACAGAATATACAGTACAGCTTCGTGAGGCTAGCCAGTGGCAATTAGCTGGCTACATCTTTGACAATGGGTGATGTGTGACCGCAAAACGCATTTGTGGTCCTATTGGGGACTTAAGGTTGACAATGACATATTTTACGGAGGATGATGGTTTGATATGGCGTTCAGGCTTTTACTTTACTGCCACACAAACCTACAAGTGTCCAAGTCAGAGTACTACGCGCTTTGAGGCGCAATATAATCACATTTTATAAGGGATTGAGTTACAACTCACCAAGAGTCGTTACTACGAAGGCTTTATTGGAGCGGGGTCGGCAATGTTCGGAATGAACAGCCGGACTAGGTTCTCTCTGAATACCTACGCGTGTTCTATGCATGACTGCGTGAGCATGCTGAGAGGCGTTGTTAGCTGATAGTACATCCTCTTATTTAGCCGCCCGAGAGGCAAAATCATACTTGATGAATAATGTTATATCTTATGCTTCATTCCTGTAGATGCGGTCATGGTGGCAGTTTTGTCCTGCCACCTTGGCCCCTGTCTACTATGGTGGCGAGAGAGAAGGCTGACATTCAGTTCTACAGGGGTATCGGGGCTCGGGTCTTATTAGAGCTAAGCCCTGCCAACTGCGCACCAAACTGAATTCAGGGCACTTGCAGAGCACGCCCTGGATGCAGTTGGCCTGTGGTTGAATGCAAGTTCCTGGTCACTTTGTAACTTGGGTTATGTAGTTGGCGACAGCTACAGAGGTCATAAGCAACGCGATTTCTCTGTCTGCCGAGACGAAAGTTTGAAGAATTCGATTTAGCCCTTCCACTGCTCCTTCATTTCATGTTTTTCTCCGCGATTTTCGCACCATTTACGGCCTCAATATCTACGGATAGTTATCGGTTGAGAGCTACATCATCTGGACTATGACCCGCATGCATGAATGCTCAGTGGCCAAAGCGACAGACTCCTCAAATTGCCAAAACGGACAAACGAGACAAAAGACGATTGTGCCCACATGGGACAGCCGGAAGTACGGCGGATGGTGGCGGTCGGCCAGAGCTTGTCGGGACATCCCACATCTTCGAGTGCCTAGCGGCCGCTAAAGGGGCGGCGCTTGTCGATGCACGTTCACATTTGGCTGCGCAACTGGCCGAAACGTGGCCGACACATTCCCTATTTCTGGGTGTGGGAGTCTGGCAGAGATCTTCTCCGGCGTGGCCGAGGAGGACGACCGCTTTCACACACACATTGACACCAGCAAGGACTGGTAGTGGTAGCTGGTTGCTTCTTGCACTCAACGAAGACAGACTCTCTGGTTAGGTTGACACGACGAGGCTACATATAATGAGAAAAGAGAGAGGCGAGGTACAGAATATCGTCAACCATACGAAAGACGAGCGAGACCGAAAAGCTAGAGTAGCATCGTGAACCACTTGGTGGCGCTGAACCCAGTGGTGAGACCCTCAGCGACAAGCGAACTCGGCACTTAAAATTTAGTTACAACGAGGTGGCTTCCGGTGTTGGACAGTGAAGCGCAGCTGTTTAGGGTGCGGCCAACCGCTAAGCAACGCTGACAAGAGTTCAGAACTGGAATACTGTACACCTACCTAGGAAATAATAGATTACAAATATGGCGCTTTGTGAAACTGTATTAACACTATAAATGGCCACTGATGAGGAACAGGAGGGCTCTTCAACTCCAACGAGAGCCGAAGCGCCCAGCACTGGGGCACAAGGCTAGCCTCGCACAAGAACGCCATTCCTGGCTAGCCGGCACGGCGCGACTGGAATCACCGAATCGGTTTGACCTGCAAAGGCACCCAGCGGAGTTGTGTCCTCGATTCCTTTTACATGTACCTGGCTGATGGACTCTACTATGGGGCCATCAAATAGTAGTCCCGACGCGCCAATAATCGCATTGACATGCGTTATGAGATGAATGAAGCTTATAAGGGCCTAGCACGGGAACCAAGAAATCTAGGTAGGTAGTTAGAAGACTTGGGGGCGGGGGCGGGCTCGTCGGGCCCCCGGTGATGCGCGCCGGCGATGAGCCTTGGGGTGGGTCACATATTTTGCCTGCGACTGCTCAACTTGTTGGACCGGTGCCGACCTTGTCATTTGTATGACTATTGCGACTTGCATAGAGTGCTTACAATCACATTACCAAGAGCACATACCAATGCATGCATGTATCGGGCTTAACGGAGTTGCTCAGAGGGCAGTTCGTGAAAGGCGCGCTCCAGTGGATCGCTGCCGAGAGTTGAGTCCAGAGCAAGGGGAGAAAACCACAGGGGTGTGCTCCTAACAAGCCACAGCGTGGGGTCCGGGTGGCTGGCTGCTGACAGTGCGGGCGGGCTTTGCCCAGGAAGACTCCAGAATCGGGTACGAGGCTGACCAGTCCTCATCGTCATTGTTTTTGCAAATTCCGCATCTGAGGCAAGATGAGCGTTAAATTGGTCTCGATTCCGCACACCTTGTTCTTGCTTGATAATTATAGCACCTCGAGAGCAGGCTAGTTACATTAATTTCGACAGGTTGGGAAAGGCAGCGCATCCGAAAACTATGGGATATTAGAACCTACACTGGCGCATAGCTCCAAAGAGGCAGGCAAGGTAAAAGACCACGTAGCTTTGCGTTAAGAAAAGACTCGTCTCTTCCCGTTGCCCGGCGGTAGTATCGAAAAACGGGTTGCTAACAACTGATGCAAAACTGTACATTGCGGTAGATTCCGCTGGGTTCAAGCACAAAAAGGGCCATTATAATTTAGTTTGGCTCCGCGATGTCTCGGAACATGACGAGGGCACTGAGGTTTAGCGCTTTCTTCCTGTAGCCTAGGTACTACATTAGCCCACATAGTACCAGGTAGTATGTAGCACTGGCGCTGTACTAGCCTAATCGTACAACTCGATTCCGTGGGCAAGCGACTGTTCGCAAAGAAGAGAAAATACTTGCTAAAAGCAGCAAATATGTGATATGTGAGAGCATGGGCTTCAGGATAGTTACTAGCAGCCAGCTACCTCTGGACGCCCGCCATCTCCACAACGGGCTACATAGAAGGCGCTATCTACATACCTATGTAGTTAGTTATAGCTGTGTTCTCTTTGATGGAACTTTTGCTGAAGGCATTTTCCTAGCACGTATGCCGCGCCGGTCGTCAATTGTCTACTTGGTAATTTGTACAATTTGGATACGCGAGATTGACAAGGTTGTTGATTCCAGAGCACTGCAGCTGGGTGTGTGTACAGTTACCAGCTATTTTGCGACAGGAGTTGAAGGACACGGCCAAGCCGACCCTGTCTCTGCCTCTGTGACTACATGTCACTAGAGAAATGAGGTAGGTAGGTTGTTATTTACCAGTATTCCACAGCAATGGGGGCCGCTAGCAGTTGGTCAGAGGGTGCCTACATAGGTACCAGGCAACAGGTACGTATCTTGAACGGCAGCGACATGACTTCCAAGACAGCTACTAGGTAGGTACCAGGTCAGCCATTACAGGTGCAGATTTCTTTAAAAAAATTCTCTGCGTCCAAGTAGGTAGGTAAGTAGATGTGGTACTAGAGTATTCGGTGTGATGGAACAAAACACCTTCAACTTGTCTCTGTTGGCCCACCCAGCTGCAGAGCACCTACCCTCTTCTGGGCCCTCCCCTGCGGCCTGCCTGCTTGTACCCACCTTCACCCCTCCCCCCAAAGGTAGCCCTGGCTGATGAGGCGTGGGCTTGCCGTGGCTCCTCTGGCAGCTCGACTGCTCTCTCGAATTGACCTTGTCCCATCATCGCTTTCTTATATTTTTAGCCCACTGTCGCCTCCTCGTCACCAGCTTCCCGGGTCCGGCCCAATTCTGTCCCCATTTCATCTCTCCAGCATATCCCCCGACAAATACCGCCGCGCGATTCCCTACCGGATCTCAACCCGACCTTGTCCCGGCATTCGCCTCAAGTGCCATCTATTAGTGAGGACCCTGCCGGCGCGGTCATGCCATAGCAGGACGAGGGGCGGAGATCACGCACCACCCGCACCCGCGGATGATAGACGACCATTCGTCTTCGGGCCCTCCCAGTTTCCAAGACCTGATTCTTCTCGTCTGCCATAGCTCAATCCATTTGCGACGCCATATCCGGTTCCATTGAGTGACCAGGCCTCCGTGTCAACCCCCGCACTGTCCCGCCGTACCTATCCGCCCGGTTTCAACGCATCTGTAGCTTCGGATGCTCGCCGTTGTCGGTCCCATGGCCGAGTCGCAGTTCCCTGGGCCCAACAGGGTCGCCATTCCACGGCCACAAGTCGGTATCGAGAGACTGCCTCCTCGCCGACAACCGAACGAGCCACGCGAGTCCATGAATTGTAAATCCTGTCGCAAAAGAAAGGTCAGCCCACACCCGCACCTATGCGATGCGCTGCACAAGTCACTGACATGTACCGCGCCTAGATCAAATGCAACAGACTACGACCGTCCTGTGAGGCTTGTCAGCTGTTTCAATGCCCTTGTGTATACGGTACATTAATTTCTCGACTTCATATTTTGAGCACCCACAAAAACTAACCTCGCCGTTGCGCAGATGCCGTACCGAAGAAGCGAGGGCCAAAGACCGATGTTCTAGAGGCACTGCTAAAGCGCGTCGATGGCCTCGAGGCCAAGCTCAAGGAAAAGAATGTGGAAGATGGTACAGATACGGCCGCAGAGTCGCCAGAGGCTCAAAGCGCCGAATCCGAAGAGGCAGGCCCTTCCGAAGCAAATGAGCCACCACTGAAGCGCATCGCAAGCGCCTCCGAAAAGTCCTCCTCTGGAAGCGCCGAACCAAAGTTTTCGAATCCACGACCGCCTACTTCGTAAGCGCATCCTGTCACTTATTGTGCGAGGTGTATTTAGTTTACTAAAACGGAACGTACAGCGACCAACCAGCCACCGCCAATGCTACCGTCCCGACGGAAAGTCTCATCAGCGCATACTTTGCGACAGCACATGGTAGACCTTACTTCATTGTAGACGAGTCTACTGTTCGTCAACGAATGCAACTCAGAGAATTACCACAATATCTTGTCGACGCTATGTGTGCTGCAGTGGCCAAGTATGTTGGATCCTATTATAGCTGCAACTTTTGCTGACATGATTAGATTTTCTGCTCACCCAAACGGTCACTTGGCAGCTGCTCAAATGAGTATAGATTTGGCTTTCCGAGCCCGCCGAGCTATTGACATGGACGACGTATCTGTGGAAGCAATACAAGCACTCCTTTTGATCTGCCTGACCTACATTATGACAGGCAAGGGAACCAAGGCATATATGGTGCTATGTAACGCTATTACCATGGCCCTTGGCCTTGAATTGCACAGAGAGATCGAAGCTCAAGCTCTAGTCACACACATGGAGCGCGAAACAAGACGGAGGCTATTTTGGACTTGCTACCAGCTTGATAGACTCCTATCATGTGGATCAAAGCGGCCCGGCCTGATCAGCGATGATGCTATCGTTCTTCGGCTTCCATCCTGGTCACAAAAGCCTTCCTCAGCACCGACCGAGGGAGAATTCTTTGACTGTGGCTCAAATCTGCAGTATTTCCAGGGCAGTGGAAAGAAGTCCCAGGGGAGTAGTGGGATGTTTATTGACATCTGCCGTATTCTCGGCATTACAAACAAATACCTCGCAGCTGGCGGTGTCAAGGGCGATTCACATTTTCCTTGGCACTCACTTTCAAACCTCTCCAAAATTCGACAAGACCTCGACATTTGGGCTTCCGGAACTAATAATGCCTTTGCTACCATCGAGTCTCTCTTTGGCCAGTCTGACGCCACAATTCTATTCATGAGTAAAATGCTCTACCATCTCGTCTACTGCCTGATCTACCGCCCGTTCCTCCCGATTGACCTTGCCGAGCTGTCTGGAAATGGCCAACATCAATCATGGCAGATCGAGGCGACAACCATGTGCTTTTTACATGCCAATGCCATCACGGAGCTTGCAGACCTCGCTAGACAAACTGGACGTATTCAGATGCCAGGCGTTGCTGGATACTGCATTTTCACTGCAGCGACGGTCCATGTACACGGAGCTTACTACACCAAGTCACCCAGTAACGGCGACATGACCGTGTTCCTACCTTCTTCGAGTCTATTGACCAAAGCAAAGGAAATGCTCAACGACTTGCGGTATATATGGGCTGACGTCGACCAGCACCGAGTAAATTTGGAAGGAGTGTGCATCATGCATGGGGAACTAGTTAAGGCACTAGCCTCCAACTCGATTAGGTATACACCAGGTTTCCAACTCGAGAACCATTTCGACAGATACTCGGATGTCGGAGGATCTGACAGCAATGGCCGCCGAATGGACGGTACGAGCTTCTACTTAAGAGATGTTCCAACCGAATTTATGGCCGATCCGTATGCCGCGCAAGCTTTGCGTGGCGTTCCGCAGCAGTCAACCCTGAAGCGTAAGAATAACGGACCAAGCCAAGGCCTGACAGAGATGATGCAGCTATCGCCAGATTCGGCTTCCTTCTATCCCAATCGGACTTTGTCGGGCCACCCTGGACAGACATACGATGTAAGTGCGCAAACCACAGGACAACTTCATGGACACGAAGGCCAGGGACACCACGTCAGTGCTATGCGTAGTACAATGGAAGGAAACTCGATGAATTCGGCTGGGACCAGTGCAGCAGAAATGAACGGATACTCCTTCTCACCGGCACCTATGACGACGACATCGAGCATTACTCCGCTGTCATACAACCCGACATACAACTTTAACACCTCAATGGGGATGCCCGGCGGCCAAACAATCATAGGACCTGGTATGATGTCGTACGATCCCATGTTCGGCACCATCTCTACAAATGCATATGGTAGCCCGGCTGCATGGCATGGAATCGATGCGAACGGCCAGCCGAGGAACCAGACTGGCGCCACTGTGCCCAGCCCCAGCACCAAGAGCAACCCAGGTAGCACTCAGGGCGATGAGAAGGATCCGTTTTTGACGCTCCTGGAGCAGCTCGCTGAAAACGAGCAGCGTTTCAACAATGGAACAGGGGAGCTTGACTTCTTCCTCGGTGGAACTGGCGTCGAGACATGATGAAAGACACTCGCTTTGCGCCGGTGCTTGTATGTATATTAAAAAGTATATTCTGGGTGAAATTATTCAAGAGAAGGGATATTTGACGAAGCTATTTATGCGGCGAGATATGTGCATCTGTCACGATTTTGATGCCATACTTATTGAAGATATGAATTACACATTACTACCAACCAACGATGGATAGATGGAATTGCTAAAGGAAAGAAACGCGAATTACAATTTACTGCACGCTAGGCCTCCCCGACACCTTCATTTTCTAATAGTGCGGCATGAGCCTGTTCCTCTTCCTCCGTGTCATACCCCGTGCTGCGGGCTTCTGGTGCAGTCCAGCCCGCAGCCGCTTGCACAGCTACGACGATGACGGTAAGCAACGCAGCGGCGTGCCATACACCCCGAATGGCACCGCTGTACCCGCTGATGGCGACCTGCTGCTCTTCAGCGTTAAGCTCTCCCGAGAAGACGAGCCCCGGCGCACCCAGCAACCTGGTGACGAGGCGCGTGTGTTCCGGCGTCAGGCCGTCGTCCCGGCCTCCGTGGTGACCCTCAAGGCCCGCAAAGCCTGCCGTCAGCGCCTGCCGCAGGAAGCGGAAAAAGATGCCACCGCCAATGGACGTGCCGAAGCTGCCGCCGAACCCTCGAAACGTGCCGAGCAAACTGGTGCTGACGTACTCGGTGTCCTTGTGCGACAGGTGCAGCACGTGCGCCAGGCTGTAATTGAGCGCCGCGCCCGTCGCGAGGCCGTTGAGGAACACGACGGCCACGAATAGCGGCATCGGCGCTGTCGGCGTCGCGACCAGCCCCACGAGGAACAGGCTGAGGCCAAAAACGGCCGAGACGGCGACGGTTGGTAGCCAAAAGGAGCCCGCGCGGCGAATGTGCAGCGCGCCGGCCAGGAAGCCGCCGATGGCGAAGCCCGCGTTGGTGGGTACGAGGATGGCGCCGGCGCCGGCGGGGGCCGCGCCGCGCACGGCGAGCATATAGACGGGCGTGTAAAAGAGCAGCGTCCAGCGCGCCGTCATGAGCCCGAACTGCGCGAGGCACGAGAGGAGCACGCCGCGGGAGGAGAGTACCGGGAGCGGGATGATGGGGTCGGCGGCAAGGCAGTACTCGACCACCAAGAAGGCCGCGAGGGAGATGAGGGACAGGCTGAGGCTGACAGGGTGGATGTCGGCAGCCAGGCTATAGAGGAAAACCACAATTGTGAATGTCTGGTCGTGGGTTAGGATATAGAGTCATAACGGGGAACGGAGCTAACTTGCTAGTAAAAATGCTCCAAGGTAGTCGATTCGCGCCAGCTTTTGCCTCGTGGTTCCGGGCTTATAAAGGAGATCACCACCTCCCGGCTGCATATTGCTCGGGAGACTGATAAAAGACGCCACGCCTCCAATGAGTGACGCAGGAACCTGCCACACGAAGATGGAACGCTAGCCATGAGAAACAAAACACGTCAGTTCCGCACAGCATCTGGTCGAGGCGGGGGGGGGGGCACTCACCCATCCTATCCGTGGCAGTAGCGCACCATACGCAACGGCGCCAACGGCCACGCCCGCCGTGAATCCCGCGTTGACAAGCGCAATATACAGTCCCCGGCGGCGCTTCGTCGTGAGCTCCAGGACAAAGATGACGCAGAGTCCGAGCACGCCGGCGCCGCCGGTGCCCGCGACGGCGCGCCCGACCACGAGCCCGGCAAACGACGTC